CATTTGTTGTTATTTATGGCTAAATTTTAATTTACCACTTCCCATTTATAGACTAAGAGAAGAACTGAAAAAAATCTTAGCTTTGTTTAAAAAAAGTATTTTTTTCACAATGTACATCAGAGTATATCTAGCAATGCAAGATATATATTGTTCCTTTTATAGCATGAATGCCTTTATTCATAAAATGTCAGTATAGATAATACTTTTTCAGTTTTATAATTTAGCTTATTTGCAAAATAATATACAGATTATTCATGATTCCTGAAGATACTATATGATATAGTGAATCTAGTTTTCTAATAGTTAAACTAAAGAATGAAGTAGCAAAAACCAAACAATGTAAACAACAAAAAATTAACACGTAGAAGAGAATTAGGTCCCCCAAATTACCATTCCTCCCATATCTCACTGCCACTGGGTCAATGTAGACTCATAAAGAGCCTATAGGACTGAATAAAATTGCACTACCTGTAGATTTCTGAGACTACCTCTTTATAGGAATAAAGAGTCTCATCTTTCTCTTTCGGAGGACTTGGGGGTTTCAAACTGCTGACCTTGTAGTCAGGAGGCTAATGTGTAATCCACTCAAAATGGAAGATTTTCCTCTTATGATTTAGGAAAAAGGAGGTATGTATTTCTGTTTAGAAAACAATCTGGGGAAAGTGTAGAGGAAAAAAACTACTTTCCAAATGATGTATCTGACCACAACCATTTCTGTCATCCAATCTCTGGAGTTGTGAGGTTAAGTAATTCATCCAGGCAGCCCCAAGATTATGGAAGATATGAGCACTGGCCTATGTATTTAATCATGGTCTCTGCAGATTGGGTGACTGACTATGCCATTAAACTGCAAGGCCTAATTCTTTCTTCAAACCCTTTAACCAAAGATCAAATCAAGATGCTGAAGGAAGAGCAGTTCATTACTCACAATTGAAGAGAAAAGAGAGTAACTAGAACATACTTTATTTGAAAGTTTAGAAGTGGAGATCTTGGGAGTTTTCCTTAAAGCATTCCCAGTTCTAAGTATAAAATTAAAAAGTATATATATGAATCTCAAGATAGATTCATATATGTTCAGCGCAGAGCTCTAAATAGGAATAATACCCAGTAGAATATATAATGTGGCATATTCATACACTAGAATAATATGCAGCAATGAGGATGAACTATTGTCAAAACAAGGACATAAGTGGATCTCGCAAATATCAAAATTTTTAAAAGTCAGATGAAAAGAGGGAATGCTATATGATTCTATATTGAGTGAACTCAGAAAACAACCTATGTTATTAAAGTATTAGTAGCAGTTCTTTTTCAGATGAGAGAGTGACTGAATATAAGGGACATGAACGAGGCTTTTAGAGTGTTGGTAATTCCTTGACTGGAATTCAGTTTGTAAACATTTATTGAGCTGTTACATACTATCATGATTTTCTTATTTTTCTGTTAAAAAGTTTCACTAAAATGTTATAAAGTCCAGTGCATACATTCATGATGTTCCACAGAGTCACTTACAACTAAAATATAATTGTATAAATGTGAATATAAGCATTTTAATTCAAACAGGAGGGCTGTTATTCCCTTCAGGTACTGTGTTTGATAATTACATGTTACTGAATTAAGTGTGATCATCCAAGGAAGACGATTTAGCTTAAGGGAGTAGAGAATGATCAGGTGTCTCATATTTTAGGCAGAAGTAGTTAGTTGACACTATGGTTATGATTGCCTTGCTTGTCAATCCTCTGGAACATGAGAACAAAGGTAAGCCAGATTCCTTATGATAAGGAAGAAATGATTCTAACTCCTAGAGCTCTTTGCAAATAGCCTGCCCCTCAAATCTATTGAACCACCAAGATCTGCTGGAGGTTACACGGTACTGGATAAATTTCCTCACTAGAGTTAGAAAAGCCTCTCTTGAAGGGTGCATGTCAGTTGATGTGGACACTGGGCATTCTATTAGAGGTGAAGCAGGAAAGGGGATACTCAGAGGTTTTCTTTCTAGAAAACTGAGTGCCAACTTCCCTTAAGTCAGCGGTTCTCAACCTGTGGGTCGCAACCCCTTGGGGGTCAAATGGCCCTTTCACAGTGGTCCTGATTCATAACAGTAGCAAAATTACAGTTAGGAAGTAGCAATGAAAATAATTTTATGGTCACCACAACATGAGGAACTGTATTAAAGGGGCCCGGCATTAGGAATGTTTAGAAGCACTGCCTTAAGTCTTTCCTAAAATCAAATGTGGAGAAAGCTGATTTTCTCTTGAAAAGGGAAAATCATAGTATCCCCAAAAGCATTGGTGGCATAGTGCGCTACACATTGGGCTGCTAGCCACAAAGTCAGCAGTTAAAATCCATCAGCCATTCTGTAGGAGAAAGATGAGGCTTTCTGCTCCCATAAAAATTCACAGTCTTAGGAACGAAGTCAGCAGTTCTATTCTGTCCTACAGCGTTGCCGTGCGTCAAAACTGACTCGGTGGTGTAGACCCAGCCTGAATTTGTTCTAAGTGCAAGTATCTCTGGCCTGTTCCATGACAAAAATTTCTTCCCTGGCACTTAAATTATTGATGGTGTTTTTACTCACTGTGTATATTTTTGTCTTTATATTACCACTGTTTTATCATTACCATGTTATTTCATTTTTGTTGCTTACTATTCTGTTAGGTTTAGCAGTTTGTGAAGCAGAGAAGGAAGGGATGCATACAGATAAGAACTAATGCAGGGGTTTGTAGGGGATGGGGGTGGGGGAGATGGAAAGAGAAGGGGAGAGTGAGGAGATTTGGGGAGTAAACAATGAAGGCTGAAGGAGAGGGAG